GTCCAGCATGAGTTGGAATGTTTTTCTCATTTCAAAATAGCCTTAAGAAGCTTTGACCAATTCATGATTGCACTTCTGAAGAGGAAATCACTTCGCCCTGGGGAATATTGCTAATCAGAAAAAGAGCTGCAATCCTGTCCCCATTGGCTTCAATGGGAGCAGAACCACTCTCTACATTTACCCAGTATTAGCATTTATGAATAGTAATGTGCTGTTTATATTAACTGTACATACTCTAAACCTGTAGAAATGTCATCATCTGATGGAGTAGTTTCATCCTCTGACTGGTCACTTAGAAGATCACACGCTTGAAGTGATGAGGAGTCTGCAACCTCCAAAACAGGTGCTATGCTAGATCTTCTGCCATTTTTACTTCCCTCTGAAGGAAGGGTTAGGGTAGGTCCACTGGAAGATCTACATCCTGTATCTTGTAAATCTATAGCCACGGTCCCTGAAACAGCATCAGAAGCAGCTCTCAATGTACAAGTCAATTAAGCATTTAAAAAAGGGTAAATTATGCTTATTATGGATGATCTAAAACACAACCAAATATTCAAATAATATCTGTTTTGGCTATGTATAAAAACTACATTAAAATATAATGTTTAAGCTACATCCAGTGTAGCCTTACAGCACTGAACAATATACAAGGCAGTTTCTCATTAATATGGTAATACATTTTTTCCAAATACATATCAGTCTATGGCATTTAAAAACATATTCCATGCAATCAGGCTGTGAGAATATGCACAAATAAATTGCAGATTATATTGCATTTATGAATGCTGTTATATATCCATAATAAGGAATTTGACTTAATAAATCTGAATATTATAACCAGAGAAACTTAAGATTTCCAATTGTGTAAATGAGATCAGAATTTGACACCTTGACTCTTAATGCCTTTGTTCTTCCTGGTTCTGTTACATCATGTTTCTGGAAACAAAATAGAGTCTGATGAGTTGTTTGATGGACTAAAAGAATGTCTGGTGACCTGGACATTGGGATTTTACCTCCTAATTTATGCCAGTAAGAGATACTGGTTCCTTGTACAAGAAATGGGAATAATTCTGATCCGACTGATTAGCGTTTAATATTAGGCCAATTTGTAGTGAATTAGCTTGTGATATTCATATGAATGTACAAACTATAGGAATTCATCTTTTGCATATAGGAATTCATTGCATGAGATATTTTAGATTGTTGGTACATTTTAGCTAGATTACCATCAAATGTATCAATTAAACTTGTGTCTTGAATTATGAATTATACTTTTAGACAGCAAGAGACTGCAGCCTTTTGTGACTAAACACTTTCAGTATTTGCTACAGGCCTGAGTTCTGGACTCTGCCAACCTACACTCAGTGGAGGAGAAGGGAAACAATGATACAAGTGGTCTTATGACACTTCTATGCTCCCATCCTAATCCTGGCACTCGCTAGGATAATAGCCTATCTTAGGCACTAGCTTTTGACCATGTCTGTGGCCCTAAAGGGTCACCCCCAAGCACATCCCTTTTTCTGCTTGGACATGCCCTTTCAGCTTGCTGAGTGACATGGGAGCTGGTGTGGTTGCTTGATCACCTGGATGTTCTTCCATGCTCGGGGACCTCTTCACTGGCTTGTTAACTTGATATTACAGCTGCTTTGCACCACTTGGGATCTGGTCTGAACTTTGTGGGGGTTTTAAATAACCTTATGAGTTTCCTTGGCAAGTGACTTGTTAGACAGTATTCTCATTTGCATAGAGTTGTATGTGATGTTGTATTTCTGTATATAGCAAGAGTATGCCATTTATGTTGATCTTGTTGGAACTTTTTTTTTTTTTAAATTGAATATGTACATTTAAACCTAATGAAGGAAAATGTTTTCCATTGCATAGGGCATTTTCTTTTAAAATAGCTTTGCAGTTTTAGTGTAGTACATTTTTGAGCTTTCTTTTCTATAGTTTCAGAATATTTTATGAGATTTACCTGTACTTACCCATACTGGCAATTACACTGTGCAAGGGCAACCTAGAAGGTCCATGGTAGTATGATTTGGATTCATTATTTTTTCTATGATGTTCTTGCTTTTTAAAAGCTGAATTTTCTTCTTTGGTAATGTTGATATAAAAACATATATCTGTAGAGCTCATAATATATCGAGGGCCTGGATTCAGCAAAATGTTTTTGTTATCTTCCCTCCTAACACCAATCAAACAGACTCCAAACCTTAATTAAAGAAGGAAAATACAAGGTTTATTGAATGTATCTCAACAAAACACAAATTACAGATTACCATAATGGATCCTTAATTTAGTGTTATTTACATGCTGCAGAGTCAAAACGTGCACATTCTTGGAAAACAAATATTTGAAAATACAGTATTTAACAAAATTATTCCCAAAACAGACCATCTGTGATCAAGCACAGTTCCTTGGGAGTTATGAATCCCAAACCACTTCAAAAACTTTTTATTCTATAGCAGTATTCTTCCGATGTTGGGCCAGTTAATTTCTGATATCAGACATATAGTCCCTTCTGAGAATACAATAGATGTATGGAACTCTGTTAATTCATCATACTAAGCTGTTCCATTTTTCACCTGTCAATGGAATTGTTTTCAGATTCCCCACCCTCCCCTAATTTAGTCTTAGGGTTTTTGATCAGTAGTAGAAAATAAGGAATTAAAAAGACAGCCACTGTTCTAATTTTATAATGTTGAAAATGAACTCTTATATATAAATATGATTGCAGGATACATTAAATGTGTACATTCATATTACAATATTTTAAACCCCTAATAATCTATTTATACACTCTTTATCAATTGATTCATTTTATTAGAAACAACCTTTTTTACCAGAATGAAGGTAATATACATGAAACTGACATTTGTGCACGCATACTCAGCATAAGCTTGTACAAATGAATGTGTTCAAAATATCTCAGGACACATCTGAGGTTAAGGTGATCTGAAAATATAGCCTAGATTGTCAATAAATGAGATAAGACTGATGAATCAGACCCTAATTTTTGAGGATGGGACTGTGGAATGTTTGACGATTAAAATATGTTGGGGGGGAGGGGAATGATTCTTGGATAAAGAAATGGAAAGGTTGAATGTTGATATCTGCAGTGTGCAGGAGACATAATGGAATTTGAACGATGGGAGCACAACACTGACTCATAGATCTTTTGATTGTTGCACTCCTGTGATGCATCTGACAAGCACAATGATGTTCCTCTGATTTTGTCCCTGAAAGTGCAATCTGCCATACTGCCTTGGCAGGCTTGCTCTCCATACTTGATAGCAACCATTTTCAGTTTAAGGTAGAATGTGCAGTAATTATTAGTGCATGTGCTCCAGCTGATGCAAGGCCTGATGCTGAAAAAGAGGCTTTTTATGCCACATTGAATGACATTGTATGTAGTACATCACTCCAACTGCATATTGTCATAGCAGGAGATATGAACATGAGAATTGGCCATGATAGAACTGAATTTGAACTGGTTCTGGGACCATACAGTTTATCAGAAGAGAGATCGGATGATGGTGTGTGTCTACTTGAATTTGCTTCCACATATGGACTATTTTCAATGTCTACCTGGTTTCAGCACAAGAATTGCCATAAGTATACATTCTGGTATCCATGGGGAAACAATGCAATCTTGGGATTTCAAACCAGAATGAGATCCTTGACTAAACTCATTCAGGATGTATAAGAATTTATGAGTGCTGCTCTTGCTCTGGAATCTGATCATCAAACCCTAATAGCAACAATGATGATCTATTAATAAAGTTTGAGAGATGGGTATCTACTATATCAGAGGTTCTCAAACTGGGGGTTGTGACCCATCAGGGGGTTCTCAAACTGGTGGTTGTGACCAATCAAGGTTATTATGTGGGAGGTTTTGAGCTGTCAACCTCTACCCCAAACCCCACTTCGCCTCCAACATTTATAATACAGATGCTCCCCAGGTTACGCAAATCCGACTTACAGAAATCCGCACTTACGGGAAAAGTTCCATAAGTTCTGTAAGCTTTTGTGTGTGTGTGTGTGTGTGTGTGTGTGTGTGTGTAATTGTCAGGTATACCTTCCCACCTTATGCAAAATTTGACTTATGCAAGGCATTCCGGAATGGAACGCTTGCGTAAGTTGGGGAGCGTCTGTAGTGTTAAATATTAAAAAAAGGTTTTAATTTATAAGGGGGGGGGTTCCCCACTTAGAGGCTTGCTGTGTGAAAGGGGTCACCAATACAGAAGTTTGAGAACAACTGTACTATATCAAAAACTTTCAGTGTTGATAAGCTTCATAATAAAGTGATCACTAAGAGTTATGCGGTATCCATTTCCAACAAATATTCTATAGTGGATGGCTAGTTGTCTGCCATAGAGGAAGAGTAGACTTCATTTTGGGATTCTATCTCACAGGCTGCTGGAGAACAACTCGGACCCAGCAGAATGACAAACATTAGATTACAGATGATACCATCAAATTATGGGAGAGGAAAAAGTGATATGGTGCAGAATGGATGCACTGCAAGGTCAGAGTTGAGTCAGTAAAAGGAGGAAATGGGCAATAGAGAAAAGTCTTGAACGAGCAAGAGGGCCCGTCAGAATGCTCACAATCAATGCTGGAATAGTACAGTGCAATGTATTGATGAAGCCTCTGAAAGACATGACCAGAAATGTGTATCTGAGACTCTGAAGGTCCTAATTGGATGTCCATATTTGCCTCTTCCACCAGTTAAGGACAAAATTGGGAAATACTGCCAGCATATTGATTCACAACTTAAGCATTGGAATGCACATTTTTGTGAACTAATGAACAGATCAGCACCAGCATGTAAACTACAACTTAATCCAAAAACAAATCCATCAGAAAAAAAGGCTGGTGAAACAGTTATGAAATGATAATTTTTTTAAATTAATGGAGATATCCTATCTCCTAGAACTAGAAGGGACCTTGAAAGGTCATTGAGTCCAGCCCCCTGCCTTCACTAGCAGGACCAAGTACTGATTTTTACCCCAGATCCCTAAGTGGCCCTCTCAAGGATTGAATTTACAACCCTGGGTTTAGCAGGCCAATGCTCAAACCACTGAGCTATCCCTCCCCCCTAAATAAAATACCTTGTGTTGATTATTTCATCAGAACTTCTTATGAGTGAAGCCTATATTTAGTTCACTGGCTTCAAAGAGTTGTCTTAAAAGTTTGGGAAACCAGCCACATTTCAGAAGAAAGCAAAAGGGGCTACATTATGTCTTTTAAAAAAGAAGTGATCATCTTGATCAAATTATAGGGTAATAACACTGCTGTCAATCCCAAGGAACAAAGAGTCCTGTGGCACCTTATAGACTAACAGACGTATTGGAGCATAAGCTTTCGTGGGTGAATAGCCACTTCGTCAGACGCATCTGACAAAGTGGGTATTCACCCACGAAAGCTTATGCTCCAATACGTTTGTTAGTCTATAAGGTGCCACAGGACTCTTTGTTGCTTTTTACAGATCCAGACTAACACGGCTACCCCTCTGATACTTAATCCCAGGGAAGGTGTTTATGCAGGGCCGGTGATACCATTAAGGCAAACTAGGCAGTTGCCTAGGGTGCCAAGATTTGGGGCCGCCAAAAAGCAGTGCCCCCAATTTTTTTTTGGCGCCACAAGCCTGGGAGGGGAGAAGAATTTGAGCGGGGGCGGTGTGCTTGGGGAGGAGGCGGAGCAGAGGTGAGCTGGGGTGGGGAGCTGCCGCACGGCTCCCCGGGGGGGGG